GTTGTCAAAGATTTCATTTTCCTTTGAGCCACAATCGATGCCCATGGAAGCAACAGTCAAGAAACCAAATTAAGTATTATATTGGACAAACGTGTATCAAAAAAGACCACTTGAAAATGCTATGAGAAAAGACATCCCCTTGAGGACTAAGGCGCACTAAGGCGCACCCATCCAAGATCTGTTCAGTTTCCTCAGATGAATGCAAAAGCTGGGCAATGAACACGAAAGCCGGAGACCTGATGCATTTGAATTACGGTATTGGCAAATATTGAAGGTACCATGGATTAAGGATGGGAGAGTTGTTTCACATACTTTGGACATGTTGTCAAGAAGGACCAGAACTTAAAGAAGTACATCCTGCTTGATAAAGTGGAGGGTGAGCAACAAAGAAGGCCCTCTATGTGATGGAGTAACACAATCTCAAACACGTAAGGCTTGGAGGGCAGAGGACTGGGCACTCGCTATTCAGAGTCAATATTGAATGGGAACTGATGCAAAGGCACTTACAGCCCAAGAATGATTTTTCTCTATGATCCCGTGATAGTGGATAAATAACACTACATTTACTGAAACCCGCAGAATTTATAGCACATTGAGTGGTCCTTAGTGTATGCAACTAAAAATAATAATAATTTAAGGGATGGGAAATCCCAGGAAGGAATACAGAACAGTAACAAAAGAATCTAACAATTTTATGAATGCCTAATAATTTATCCATTCAAACCCAAATCAATTGCTCTCTGACTCACAGCAACCTTATAGGACACAGAGTGTCCAATGCTGCTCATTTTGACAGCAGCAGACTGCGGTATCTCTCTCCAGATGGGCGGTTGGCGGGGTAGAACAGAACCAAGGCTTAATCACTGTTCAACCGAGGCCTCGAATGTACCGATACTAGTTCATAAGTATAACAAATGTGCCAAACACACTGATGTTCATAAGAGAGGACTCTGGGTAGGGTCTATGGGAACGCCGTGCTATTTTCACAAATTTTCTTTAGCTCTAAAAGCATTCTAAAAAAAAGTTTTCTTTTAAATCAACTGCAACATTCAGAGAAAAAAATATTAACACTTGAGCCTTTGTATTTAAACCTTTGCATCAATGTACAGGTTAAAAAAGCCTAGGTGACACAAGCATTTAATCCTACGCTGGTAATCAAAATGGTGCAAGTCCAAACCAACTCGGAGGTCTGGAGAAAACGCCTGGGCCTCTGCTGCCTCCATTCAGAAAAGCAGACCCGATGGAACAGGTGTGCTCTGACCACCGGGGGATGCCGCGAGTCCTCATCCACTCAGCAGTGACTTTCACAACGGACAACACTGGCATGTGGTGTGCTTTCTGCTACCTTATGGATTTTAAGTCTGTAATAAAAGACATTGCTCCATGCCTGTAGATATCCATTTACATTACCTATCCTAATACTTATATGACTTCATTGCGTGCATATGAAAAGCCATGTTTAATACGACCTATATTTGGGGATATGTAAATCAGTTTTCACTATCTGACATTATAAATAAAGATGAGATCATTATGCTTGTACAAACATGTTTGTGTAGGTATTCCACTATTGTTTTAGGACAAATTCCTAGAAGTAGAATTATTAGATCAGAGGGTATGGACACCTGATAAATGTTTTATTCTTGTTAAAATTGCCTACAAGAGAGCTGATACAAATTTTATTTCCACCAGGAGACTATCAGACAAATATTTGACCCCTTATTTGTTTTCTTTGGTGAACTGCTCGCTTAGAAGCCCTAAGGAGCTGTTCTGCTCTGCCCTCTACGGTGCCTGAGTTTCCAATGAGGTTCGTTTCCCAGATATGTGTCATAATGACAGGAACAATAATCTCTTCACATTCCTCGTCACTTCCTTTTCCTGCCTCGCCATTTGCCTGATAGCTCGACTTTGTGTGCTTATGTTTTCTCACATACATTTTTCTTTCAATGTTTATGACTTAAGAGTTATCATCTTTTAAAAAAAATCATTTTATTAGGGGCTCATACAACTCTTATCACAATCCATACACACATCAATTGTGTAAAGCACATTTGTACGTTTATTGCCTTCATCATTCTCAAAACGTTTTCTCTCCACTTAAACCCCCAGCATTAGGTCCTCATTTTTCCCCTCCCTCCCCGCTCCCCCCTCCCTCATGAGCCCTTGATAGTTTATGAATTGTTATTTTGTCATATCTTGCC